GACTCAGATATTTGAGGGGAGGGAGGGATTTCTGTTGGTTTTGTTGGTTGGTAGGATTTTTTGATGATTTGGGTTTTTTGAGGGGGAGGGATTGTGTTTTGGGTTTTTTTTAATGGGGTTTCTTTTGTGTTTGTTAGCATTTTTTAAATTTTGGGTTGGGTTTTGCTGTAGAGATTCCCAGCTGCCTTTCAAACATTAGGTCCATGGCTTTAGTAAATATCCAAGGCAATTTTCTCCTCAAAGGAAAAGTGGTTGGTGACCAAACCACTGAGGAAAAAGTTCATTTAGGAGCCAGGAAGGCAAGACCAAAAGCTGGTCGTGAAAAAATTACATCTGCAGCAGCAACCTGGCTGTTTTTTTCCCAGCACAAGCAAATGCTGGAGCTGAAGCCACACAAAAGAATAACACAGTAAATCCAGACAAGAGATACAGAGCTCTGGAGAAGCTCAAAGCTTTCTGAAACAGCTGGTCCTGCACAATACATAAAACACCAGATGATCTTGCCTTTTATATAAAGAATTACTAGAGACAGAAACCAAAAAGGTAAAAAGAGGTGTGGGTATAAAAGTTCATAAACAATGCTGGAAAAAAGCGTTTCCAAAGGGTCACCAAATTATACAATTATTAATGAGCCTGTGGTTGGATTCCAAAAGCAGGGGAAAAAATTATTACTCAGTAGGGCCATAAATATGAAACTAGTTTGAAAAAATGACCACACACGCAAAAAAAAAAAAAAAAGGCAGAAAGATGACCCTTTTTTGCAACAGAAATTTGCTGCCTGTAGCTTTTTATTAGTTACAGCAAGTGAAATAAAAGCCAGACAAGTCTAATATAACTCTATTATCTCCTGCTACACCAGGGTGAAAAGTAATAACTGCAATTTTTAAAAACCACCTGTTGGCATCTGTTTTGCCCAGTGGATAACACAATCACTCAATAAACCTCTGGAAAGCAGCCACTGAAGCAGAGTTTGCCAGGGGCACCCTCCTGACCTGCAGCCACTCTTTGCTAAATTAAGACAATGTGACAACGACACAGACAAAAAAAAAGCATTTTCAGCTTGGGGATCTGATTTCCAGAAAGAAAACCTTAAAGTTGGGCCAAGAAAGTCACACTGGAGAAGTATTTCACAGCCTTGCCTTCACCACCTGCCGAGCTTGGTCTGACAGGAACTTTGGCTTTCCCTGCAGCATCTGCCCAGGAGCTGCTCCCTCCCATCACCCAAATTCCTCCTTTTGGTGCTGCACTTGCAGGGAAGGAGGAGAAAACAGGAAGGTGGAGGGGGAAGTTTAACCTGTGAAAGGGGACCAACAGTTTCAATGAATAGCCTGGAAATAAACTGAGTATCACCTGATTGTAATTGCTGCTCTAAGATTTTCAAGACTGAAATAAACTTATCACTTACCTTCTGTGGCTGCATTTTAAACGTGCTGCTTCCCTCCTTTGGGGATCCACACTTTTCCTTTTCTTCCAAATCGTTACAACCAAGCCAGAAAGCCATTTTAAATCCCAAAACAAAAAAAAAAAAAAAAGCAAAGCAAACCAAAAACAACCAAAAAAAAAAAAAAAAAACCACAAAAATCCCCAAAACAACAGCAACAAAAAAACCCAAAAAAAAACCCCAAACAAACAAACAAAACCCCACACTAATAAAAAGTTAAACACAAAAAGAATTTCTAAAATTTATTTAAAAACTCCCAACTTTAACAACTAAAACCTAAAAGCCCTATTTCAGTGACATTTGCATGTTTTCTGGTTTTGTTCAGCCAGAGCAGATGGAACCAGATGGATGAGGTGCCAGCTCTAATCCCCCAAAATGTGCCTATGATTTCCACCTGGATGTTAAATTTTACCCTTTCCAGTCTTTTCCCTTTTAATTGGTCGCTCCACACCCAACTCATTACAACTTCATTTGTTCAGCTGGGCTCAGGAGGCAGGAGAACAGGGCAGAGTTCCCTCTTACAGGAGGCTGGGAGCCTTCTAATATTTAATTCTTTAGAACAGGTTGTATTTATGTAGTTATGTTACTGTTAAAATTTACAAGAAATCACTCAAATTATCAGTTGAGTTGTGAGGATGCACTTTGGTAGGAGGGTTTAATTAACCACACATAATAAATACTTGTCAGAAACCAGGCGTGTTTCAAGAGCTGGATGTTGTCTTCTGATTAAAGGAGCAAAATACAAGAGGAAGGAAAGCGCTTTGCACATGGACAGTAAATTTTGGCTGCATATTCTGCCAAGCTCTGGCCATCCTTAGGGAAGGCAGGATTCAGATCTGCAAAGTTTGTACTGTCCTTCCACAGAACAGAACTTCAACAAGTCCAAACCCACCGGTCTGCTTCTGAAAAATTTAATTTCAGGTTTTTAAGGTGTTTCTTTTTCCCCTGGAATCACCAGGAGTGGACAAGATGCACTTTGCCTGTGAGGTAACTGTGAGATCCCAGCTCCACAAAGCAATGACAACACGGCCCTAACTTGGGCAAGGGGGTGTGGAGTTGGAAAAGAATTTGAATCAGCTTGGGAAATGAACAGATATTGACTTTGCAATTTAATCTTTCAGTACTTCAGCCTTTGGAGAGGTGAGAACACAGCTCTGCTGAACCCCTCTGTGAATAATCCTGTATTAAAGCTGTCACTTTTTAAGCAAAATGCTTTTGCCTTGAGTGTCTGCAAACACCTCAGCAGCATCCACCTCCTGGTTTTGTTTTGCTATTCTCCTATTCCTACAGAAGCCTTTTAAACACTTTTTTCCCATCCTTATTCTTCCCCATTCTTATCTTTCCCCCTCCTTATCTTCAGTGTTTAAGTAGAAACTGAACAATTTACTATCAGAATTCCCAACTCAAAAATATCAGTGGGTTAGTATCAGCCTCATTAAAGAATTTTGTCACTGCTTGGATCTGTGGGTATCAGTTTTTTTACACTGAACTCATTAATGAATGGTTCATATAAACACCAAAATTGTGATTGATTATTCTGAGAAATAAATAAAGATTTATAAAAAACCCCAAACCCTACTCTTTTGTAAGCTATTATTATTCTCCTTCTCCCCAGCAATTAAATTTTTAGTTGAACTTTCAGAATACAATTTTGGGCAGCAAAGTGATCATCCAAACCAAACCCATTTCCCATTGAAGAGTCTGGGATTGTCCTCATTTTCTGTCTCTGGAGCCAGCTGCACCAAAAACCATCTCAGATTATTTGCTCAGATACTCAACATCAACACTCTGGGCCAGGTTTCTTGATGTATAATAAATGCCTCTCTCTGGCTGCAGTGTCTCTAAACTGGCAGACTGCATTTTAATGAAACCAAATGATAAATAATTTGCAATATAGCACTAATAATTTTTACACTGCAATCAAGTATTTTGTGTTGTCATTTTCCCTACTTATTCCCCCTGCATCAATTCTATGTATACGTGTGTATATAAACACACCCACACACCATTAAACTGATTTTTTTGAGAAGTACTTTAGAAATTGACCCAAGTTAGGCAATTTTAGACACTGTTGGTCAATATGTTTAATTTACAGGCTGCCTTTATTGTGAAGCACATCGTGAGCCAATCAAAAATCTAATTAGGGCCTGTCTTTACTGAAGCCAAGCTGAAAGACCATTTCCTACACTTTTCACTGACAGAATAAATAAATCCATTATCATAGAACTGAAACAATTTAGACTTTTTTTTAAGGATCACATCAGGAACTGCAAAGAAATGAGCCCATTTTAAAAATTCAGCTCTGCCAAGAGAGTCCCATGAGAATATTCACCATGAGCTTCCCTCAGGTTGTAGAACCACCAGTGGAATGTGAGCACACAGCTGGGGAGAGAAAGTGCCCGTGGGACTGACTGAGCTCCAGAGATGTATAAATTTCAGACGCCTCACTGAACTGAAGACAATTTATGCATCCCTGCAGACTCAATTTTAAGCTTTTGTTTTTTTTGTTGTTGATCATGGAAGGCCAAAATTCTTCATATAAAACAATGAGAGGGGTAACCAGCACTAGTTGTGCTGCAGGATTTTCTCCATCTAGAAGTTCCTTATCTAGACAACCTAAATGCCAAAAAAATTCCTTATTTCCAAAGGTCCTGGCCTTTTGCAAAAGAATCTTTAAACAGTTACTGAATACTCTGTGCTGCTAATCAAACATCCCAGTTAATTAATACAAGGCTGGTGTTCAAAGACAAATGCACAAAGAATCTCTGTATATTATACAGAATCTCTGTATATTGACCTGCAAACACAATTTTACCATTTCCTCGTTGCCAAGGAAAATGCCACACAGGTTTCAAAGTTATACAAAGTTATAGCTTCACTGCTGACTGAAGTTTCAAAAGGCAAAAATGAGAAAATATGGATTATAAAACTCTGGGGCTACTTGCAGTATTCACAGGGCTTTAAGGAAAGAATTCTCAAAGGGGTTTAAAGGAGTTAAAATTGTATTTATTATAAAATTCACTCCGTTCACTTTCTAGGTTGTGAGAACAGAAAGGGAGGGGGTTTCTTTCATCACTTATTTCTGTGCCTTGCAAAACTCAGGATGTGCAGACCGTGTCCTGCTCTAATTTAACCCACACAAATTTTATGTTTGCTGCTAAAGCCTGGGAATTGATGCTGCTCAAACACAATGTTTCATTAGAACTAATATGGAAAATGTGACTCAGATGTACAAAGGATAATCACTTCCTCTATTAAACCAGCCCTGAGCATTGTTCCTGTCCAGAAGGCAAAATGACAACAGTTGCACAAGCAGCATTCAATTCCAATTATGGTTTTGTATTAAATCAAGACACACAGAGATTTTAAAAATATTTTTATTATTGTAATGAGACTGCAATATTATCTAAATAAACTTTTCAATCACTATTACACTCTATTTTCCTCATGAAGGTTCCAGTTGGGAATGCCACAAATTATCCTGCAACCTGTACACTTAAAAGTTTATAGAAACATTCAGTATTTAAAGGCCTTTGCAGTATGTTGTTGTTTTTATTTCTTTTACACCGTCAGAGTTATAAATCCAAGTGTATACTGAAGTAGATTTATCTCAGACCCACTGACAAACAGCTTCAAAGAAAAAGTTTGGGTGTGCTCACAACTCTGTGGGAGTCTTGTCTACAAGGGCTGCTACAAAAGCAAGAGATTGAGCAGAGCTGTAGCAGTCAGTGAGAGCCAGAATTTAGGCCACTGCTAATTACAGTTAATTTTGATTAATTCTGTTGCTCACGTAATACTTAAGGCAAATTTCCTTGTATACTCATTTTCCCAAGCTAAAGCAACAACATAAGCACAGTTCACAATACACTGAACAAAAAGTATTTTAAGGTAATTTATGTAAGATGTGGCAAGAACAAATACAACACATTGCAGTTATAACTCCTACTTTTCTGCTCAGAATGATGAAACTCCCTTTTTCAGTTTGTATTCAAAAAGACTTGAACAGTCTACCCTTTCTAATTTTCTCAGAAATGTTATTTAAGACTTGAAACAAAAGTTTTCTGGAGCTGGAGATGTCCCAAAGCTGATGGGAGTTCTGAACACATATCCACAAATCCTTGAACAAAAGGAGAATCCAATGCACTGTTACTGCAAGTAGACAACACAAAAATTACATTCAAATGAGAGACATTTTATAGGATTCTTTTCATGACAACAAACTCAACTTCAGTAGCTCCAACAAGCTGGGAAAAAGAAGAATTTAGGCTTTTAGCCTAAATGCCACAGTCTTCAGTTTGCAAGGGCAGTGTACCATCAGCACCCACTCCTCAGCTGTAAAATTTCTCATCAGTAATACAAAGAAAAGAGACATCTGCCATTAGAAACAATAACACAAACAAGTACTGGAATACTGGCAAAAAATCAGAAAAGAGGTTTTCTGCGGCATCCTTGTGTATGTGGACCATCAGATATGTTAGCAGAAGTATCTCATGAAAAAGCCATTGTTTTGGCTTTGCACAATGCTTTTTTCACCTTTTGTTAATCAGACATTCAATAACACAGCAGTGACTGGGGACAGCACCAGCAGTGTCCTGACCCTGCTGCTCTGGAGGAAAAACCTCCTCCTACCCTTTGACAGGCAGAATTCAGTCCCCAGGGTGTGCAGGGAGTGCACACTTGAAAATAAAATGGAATATAACAATCCCTTAACTGGAAAAAGGGATGTTTTATGGATTTCTGGAATGTTAGGAGAGCAACATTTGTAAGTGAACCTGTTAAAGATTCCATCCCAGGCAGTTATGGAAATGACAATACATTGAATTGATTTAAAATAACAGTAATTTTAAACAAGAAATTGGACTGAAAAAACCATGATGTTCCAGGAAAGAACTGTGTGCTTTGTGATCTCTATTTATTTTTAAATATATTTATATTTTTACAGTACAGACTAAATCATTTTTACATATAAATACAACAGTATTGAAGTCTATTAAGATTTGATTTTTAGAAGTAAATGGACCAGACTTTGACACAGGTATGGAAGCCTTTCAGCACATCTTTAAATTTGATTCCTGCTACAACTGAAAAAGTGGAAATATTATTGTATAACTTTATCATAAGCTTCTTTCCCCTCTTGTGAAAGTGCAGACAAATTTAATAAAAAGCAACACCGCAGTTCTTCATCCTGACTTCCAACACATTTAACAGTATTTGCTCAAATCCCACAGATCAGCTATTACAGTGATTCAAGAGAAAAGTGAATTTTCACCCAGTGGAATCCCAGTCTGCCAGACAACCTCACAACACAGAGTTCTCACTCCTGTGTCACCTCCTCCTTCGGCTGCTTGAGTTCACTCAGAAGCTCCTTCCCACTTTCTCCTGCTTTTGAGGCAAAGAGAGCAGCTCCCTCCTTAAAGCCCAGCAGCTTCAAGCTCCTGGCATAATCTGCATACACAGCATGGATCAATTTATGTAAATGAGGCATTAAGGAAAACACAAATTAATAGCAAAACAAAGAAAGCTCAGAATCCTTTTTTCCCCCCTTCTTACTCCTTGGCTCTCCCAAGGTGAAAATGCTGAACATTGCTACCAGTTGTGCTAATCCATTATTTTTCAGCACAAGTAAAAAAAAAAACCAGTTCCTTTAAATCCTCAGTTTGAACTCATATGAGTATTTATAAAGCAACGTGCAGAGTACTGTAAACTAAACCAGACACATTTCAGATATGCTTAAGTACTTACCATGATACAATAGCATAAACAGCAAAAGAAAACTTTGTCTCAAAGATTTTTCCATTAATTAGACTTGAATTTATCTACATGACTTATTAGTAGCATTTTTTTATTTAAGGCTGATGACTCCATAGGTATTATTTACATATGCATTATTATTTACAGTATATAATACAACAGTTTGTGCAACTGCTCAGCTTCTCAGAACACCAGGTCAGATGTAAGATTTAGTGAGCACAGACAGGATTTCAGAAAAAGGATATTTGTATCATCATTAACTTCAAATGCCCCGTACTTCAGGCAAGCTTCTACAAATAAAGCTGCTCTATCAAAGTACCTCATACTGTTAAATGAAAAAAAAAAAAAAAAGAGAATAATTTGTTAGGATGCAAACCAGAAAAGTATTCCAGGATATCACCAAAACACTTGCAGAGAGACTTCCTAAACCTTTGTTATATCTCCCCTTCTTCCTTGCACTCATGAACTGACACTTGCTATAAATTTTCCTGAAAGATCTGGGCTGAAGTTACTGAGAAAAAATCATAGCTACTATAAATCATTACTGCTTGATCCATGGGTGCTGGCAATCTTAAAGCCTCTAGTAAAATGAAATGCCAGTCATAGCCCACAGGTTAAAAGTAATTAAAGAAAAACATGCTTGTGGGAAATGGATTTGTAGAGAATTCTCAAAGTTTGACAGAAGGTTCACATAGTTTGTATTTGCACGTAAACTCTGAGATAAGAAATACTGACTTAGATATGCTATGGAATGGGATAGACATTGTTGAGAGACAAATGGAACTAGAAACAAGTTTTAAAGGATGGTTTTGTAAATAAGATTAGATACTGTAGAGAAATATAACAATGGTTATAGTGTATTGTAATTAGGAAATAGTTGGCTTCTGATTGTGATAGCCTGAATTATAACTATTATCTGTATTGTCTCACCCTTCACAGGAGACTGAAAATAGAATAAAAGTTTTTAAAATGCCTCTCAGCTGCCCCATCTCTGGGTCACAAAAGGGCTTAGTCTGACACATGTGAAAATAGATGTCAGAAATAGGTGTGGACAAGAGAAAACACGTGTTGTGCTGTTTCACCTTTACCTGTGTAACATCTCTGCAACTTTTGTGAAGCAGCCAAGAGACAAGAGGACCAGAATGGCCTTGGATTTCTGGTTGACCTGTGGGGAGCAGAGGTGATCGACCCAACGCCGCAGCACGTCCGCGCACTCCTCCGAGCTCAGCCGCACCTGCGGGACACAGCAGAGCCTGAGCGAGCCCCCAGCTGCCACACACACCCTGCACCCTGCTGCTGCTGCACTCTCCTCAGGGCAGCACCCTGGGCAGGAGCAAAAGCATCTGAAACCACCAGTTTTTAATAAAAAGCATATTGCTTGAGTTAATAGGGTATTAGGAAAATCAGATATCTGGGTATACAAATACTTCATTTGGGTCACTCCATTTTTACCTGTGGTTAACATCATTTTTACCCCAAGTTGTTCTAAAGTTTTTCTAAATCAAGAAGTTAGTGTACTGAAGATTTAAAAAAAATCTTATTTTTTCTGAAAAACAAAATTTCATTTAGAAAATCTAAGTACAACTTGTTCCATTATTTCTTCAGGAAATATAACAGAAACACAGCTTTGGAGAGTCTGAAAAATCCTTACTAATTCCTGCCCATTTATAACGTGGAGAATTAATGCTGTGTCTGGGTAGTTTTGCTGTAATTATGGCTGCACACCAAAACAGAAGGTGATGACAATTTACGTGGGTGGTGGTAATTTTGAAATCCGCTCACACACTACATAGAGCTCAGCACAAAGTCACTGCTCAGTTAATTATTCACATCCAGGAGTGGGGTTTTGTAGTTTATTACCAAACTGCTGCAGCTATATGGACCTTCCCAAACTGAAAAATTAGGAAATTAAGTATTCTAAGCTTTTTTGGGCCCCAATCCTGTAATGTGGACAACAAGGGCAGACTTGTGTGGTCAGAAGGCTGAAGAATCTGCCAGCTCTGATTGACTGGCCTGGATTCTCATAGCTGAATGGCATTTCTAATTGATGTTTCAGTGATTTAGGGAACTTCAGCATCCTGCTCAGCCTTCCTAAGCACAGATGCTAAGCAGGTATTTGGTGTTCTCAGCCTGGGAAGTGAGGAAGTGCTCACCTTGGCCAGCCATGCTGCACGGTTCCACTCGCCGTAGGTCTGCAGGTAGCGACAGGCGTCTGCAGCCTTGTCAATCAGACACAGCAGCTGCACCCCCTCTGGAACAGAAACATGCACTCCCCTCAGGAAAGCCAGGGAAAAAGAACTGCTAAGTGTGGAAAAGGATCCCCATATCCTTAGCACATGAAGATGTTGAGACTGCTCTCCATATAACCTGGGTGCCAGTTATTGCATCTTCGTTCTGGGCTACAGAGGCCACACAAAGCTCTCATTTATCTTTGTTCTGAGTACAAATTTAGGGTTCACAGGACTTCTCATCATAAAGACATAATAATATTTGTAAATTAAATAAATAGATTTCATGGGTACTTCTTATTTTAATTTAATTTAATGTTGTCCACCACAATAAATTAACAGTGCAATTATTAACAGTCTAGAGACTGGAAAGTAGTTTTTTCCAGGCAAGCACACTTTTAACTTTCTCAGCATGTTTGAGTATTTCAGTTATATGATTGTAACTGAAATATTTATGTTTCAGCTCTTGCATTAAGCAAAATAACCTGTACTTGTAAGAAAACATATATTATGAAAGAAAGCTCTGAACTGAAAAGGAAACTAAATCCGTATTTCATGTTTTGTAACAGGGACACTAAATTTTAGTTAATTCTTTAATTAGAAGAGTGTAAAATACATATTATGTGCTCAGCTTCTCTTTGTGCAAACAACTGCTAAAAGATTTAATCCAGAAGTAAGTTTTCCAGTGAAAATAATTCAAGACAAGCTGGATTTTATAACTCAGTAACTCATCATTTTTGTGTTAACTACTCTGTGTAGTGCCTACTACAGCACACCCAACAGGTAAGATCCACCACTGCAGGATTCACTCCTATTTCACTGGCATCCCTAAAAATGGTGAGAATTATCAGTTCACAAGCAAAGAGAAAGAGATGTTTTACCTGCAAGCTTTCCATTGGCTATCATGTTGGTTGCTACCAGTTTAATGGTGCTTTGAGATGGCCCTGATGAGGTGACAGTTGTGACCAGGCAAGCCTTGAGTGAATCACAGTAATAATGTGCATTCTCTGAACTGGTTTCCAGCAGTAGTTGCACTGCTCTGTCAGTCTGGCAAGAGAAAAAAATACAGCTTTGACCACAACATATTAATTTTGCTTAAAAGCCTTTCTATCTTTACCCTTTTTAAGACATGGAACAAATAACAATGGAAGTTAGTCTAAAACAGGCTACAAAAATATCTCCCTGTCTAGTAATGACTAAGATTCTACTTTAATAGGACATTTGAAATAAGGAGAGCATTGAAAACTCATCATGAATTCAATATAAGAATGCAAAAACTCTGCACTGGGTTCATACAAGTAGGAAATAACAAATAAAGTTAGAAAAAGCTTTCCTTGACTAGGCTAAGTACACAAAACAGGGAAGAAGAATAAAAAATTCAAATATTACCCACAAACCTGGCCCAACAGAAGAAGCTGATCAGCACATTTCCTGGTATGATCATATGTTGATCTCTTCACTTCCTGGAGATTCACCCTTTCCAGCTGAAATTTCTGGACAAAGAAGGAAAAATATTTTAAGTGTAAGCCTACCACAATAAATAAAACCAGGCTTTTAAAAGATATTTACATATCTTGCCAGTTTTTGGACCAGCCTCTATTTTTAAGTACCAGGAATGTTTTAATCCAGACTGGTATGTTACTAATAAAAGTGAAATATGTACAGGGAAGCAAGTGTTTATTGTACTGATGACATTCCTTTAAACTTGGTTTTGAACTCTCTGACATACCTGGAAGTAAGAATTTTCACACAGCACATCATAGCATATATCCAGAGGATTAACCAGCTGCTCCTGAAGGACAGCTGTGTCTGGTTTTGCAGGCTTTTCCTGGCATAAGCTGTGCAAATAGTGGGCAGCAATAGTCCAGAAGTGCAGCTCAGATTCGTCCCCATACAGCCTGAGAAGATACAAAGCAGGATGTGAAACAGGCTTGTATTTTTTCATACACCACATAAAAATATGATATATTTCATTTTCTCAAGGACTCTGCATTCCTGTGGGCAGCACAAGTACTCTGCATTATCAGTGGGACAAACTATGAGAGAGGATTATGGAATGACATTCATTACAACAGCAATTAAACTCCAGGAATGTTCAGCATAGAAATATGTGGAAATTGGTATTTATTATTATTTTACACTAGTCACTGATATCCTCTTTCAACCACAAGTTAGTAAGTTTGAAAACCATCTCTGAATACAGACAGACTAAAATTAGCTCAGTTTAGGCAGAACAAATACACTTGAAATAGACCCCAGACCCTTCCCTGTTTGTACAGAGCTATTGTGAAGTTCTAAATGACATTTTGGGGCATGAACAATTAAGTGATTAATTAATGTGGCTGCCAGAGCTGCAGCTATAAAAGTGCTACCAAGACTGAAGGAAGTTCCTTGTATCCAGCAAGCAAATAAAATTGTTTCAGTGAGGTAACATTTCCATTTTGCTCCTAAAACCACTCTACTCAATGAGTAACAAAGTAGTTTAGGGACTGTGCTAAGTTAAGGGACCACCGGGCTGAAGTTCCTAAACTTCAGCTCATTCCTGTGCATTAACAGTATCAAGATTTTCCCAGGAAACATTTCCTGTATTTATCTAAATCTCTTCTACCTGGCAACCAGGAGACATCTCTGCAGAAGAGTAAAATCTGGATCAAGCAGAAGTTTCTTTATGTCGCTGCAAAAGAGGAAGTGTTAAAGAATCTGTAAAATGCTGAGCAGGATTTTTTTGTTTGGTTGATTTTGAACAGAAACAGGATCCATCACACACAAACTGAAAAGATCAACCCCTAAAATACACAATTTCTTTTCTGAAATGAAAAAATGCATCTATGAGAACAATTACAACAGAAATTAGATATAATTTGAAATATAGCTGATCTCTAGGGGCAAATGCAGGGAATCCATCAAGAACTCTTTATCCTTGCAATATAGGGAATCACCACCAGGGTGTATGCAAAGCTGCCAATTAGTCTGCAGTAATTCTACTAATTACAATATTAATTCAGCTACAAATAATCTTGCAGCTATGTTATGCCACAGCAGAAGGGATGCACATGCATGAATTTAGGCTTTCCACAGGTGTTTCAGACTGGATAAAAATAGGCTGGATAAAAGGCTGGATAATAGGCTGTTACCATCCTACCAAATGAAAGGACAAAAGGAAAATGGACAAAATTATCTATTTACTAGCTTTAACTATAATTTTCAAGGTTTAAATTGAATGTCTGTTTTTCTGTAAATAGAGCAATGTGCATCAACAATACTCTGGAATTATATCTTCAACAAAGGATTTTTGGAATCATCTTTTTTTATCTCAGAGCTCAAATATCCTAACAAATCTTGGAGTATTTAAGTAGCAGTGTCCAATTCAGTCTGGATCAGCATAAAGAACCCCTAAATCCCTGAGAAGTACTGCTTAAAACATTCCAAATGCTCACAGGTCAGTTGCAAATCATGTACTGACCCTATCAGTACCTTTAAAATTAAAAAAAAAAATTGCAGTAAAAAACCCTTTTTTTAAAAAATAAAAACTGTCATGACTCAGGCACATCTTTAGAGAAAAGAATTCTTTCGTCATTAACTGTGAATTGCCACAAACTTCAGATATTTTGCCTTCTCATAATTCCATGGCTTACACAAGTAATAACAGAAAAATTCTTACTTGGACAGTGAATTCAATTGCTCTTGAAGAAGGTTTTTAATATTTTCATTCTCTGGATAATCACTGGATTAAAAGAAAAAATAGAAGTTTTCTGTGTTACAAAAAGTACAGAATTATGTGAAATGGAAGAGCACTACTCGTAAGAGAAAACCACAGGTTAACAATTGTTACATGTTAACAATTTTTCACATTCTTTGGGTAAACCATTCATGCAGGATTCTTTATCCAGTTACCAGTTCCAAAATAGCAGTGAAAGATTTGGTTTGCTTTCACTCAGCCTCACAGTCAGTGCCAATCTTTCTTTTCCCATTTTTCTTTTTTTCATTAATCATAAAATTAATAAAAATGGCAATGTCTAGAGCATTATTAAGCGACCATGAGCACAGTCCAGGACACAGAAATGTGCTCCTCTGGTGATGTGAATGTGGCTCTCCAAGAGTACAGACAGGTCTATCAGGATATCAGAATATCACTTTCATTTACACTTTAGGAACAACTCTGATGGCTGCATTAACTTCTAGAACAAAGAGAACAGTTTTTCTCAGAAGTAATATAATGCAATAAAAACATTGCCAGGACTGAAAGCAGACTGCAGTTTTCAACAGCCAAGTGCTACTGAAAGCCAGAAGAAATACCTGACCTTAGAGCCTTACCTATATTACTTTCAGTAATAAAACAGTGAATCAATTATAATTTTGACTGTCCCCAAGAGTGAGGAAACTTATACATCCAACAGTTATTTGCACAGAAAGACTAATAAAAGATATAGGCTTTAAAAAATAATAATATGTTATATATAGATCTATATTTCTTCTTACATGTCCATAATATCTAGAGAATATTTCTCATCCCACGGTTGATGCAGCAGGAATGCTTTTAAAGCTAATGAAGCCCTTGGAACAAGCAGGTAGGGACACCAGACAGGTTCTGAAACAAAAGGAAAAGATTCATTGTCCAGAGAGTCATGTGCAATAATACTGTGCTCACTGATCAGAAAATGTGCCTCCAGAAAATATACCACAGAAAATGAACCACAGAAAATGTACCACAGAAAACGAACCACAGAAAATGTACCACCAGAAAATGTACCAGCAGAACATGGACCACCAGAAAATGTACACCAGAAAATGTCCCAGCTTGTCTGCAAGCACCAGGAAAATCAAACATAAGTCTTCTCACACACCCAGCACAGGGTGCTAGACACAAAAGTTTATCACGACACTGCATAAGTCTTCTCACACACCCAGCACAGGGTGCTAGACACAAAAGCTTATCACTACACAACAAAAACATTTCATAGAAGGTACAGGGTTATCAACCATGCTCAAATGAGAATTTCAGGATATTCCATAGTGAGTTTAGCCATAGACTCCTGGAATGCATTTTACTGGCTTTGGCAGACTTGTAGAATGATTATTGCTACATGATGCAAAGTAAAGCTACACCAAATATATCATAAAGCATGTTTAGTTTTGCTTTGCCCCCCTAATTCCTACAGTACAATACAAGGATTAAACCCCATCATCTGGCAAGGATGGTGGGAAGGTTAATAAAATACAAATTCTACATCAGTGCTGTCACACAAGTGTAGAAGTCAGTAAGTCTGTATCCAAGGTGTGGGTGACAGGCAATAAATGCTACCCAGTGACTGAGGAGTAGAACAAGTACCAAAACCAGCTCCATCATTAAACATTCACAACTCCCTGTACTTCGTGTGCACTGAGTGATGTAGGACTCTTGTAAATGTGATTTAGTAATTAAAACATTACCACAGAAGGAAAGCTCAATCACAGCAGCCTTACAGCTGGCACAGCCTCATTTCAGTGTACTTGGCTTTACAACATTCATCTTTATAACTTAATATTGCAGAACACTCCTTTGGTAGCAAAAATGGCTGTGATAAATTACATGTTTCCCCAAACAAACCCACACCACAGCTCCCCACATCACAGTTTATTGCATATGTCTTAGAATCCACTGGGTTTTAAGGAAATTACTTAAGGAAATTGTATGAGTAAAGGTGGGATTGACTCAAAAGGCAACAAGAAGAGTTATTTGGAACACCAGTAACAATAAATACAAAAAAATATAGTTTAGTTAACTAGTTAAATATCTAAACTCCCTTCTTAGACATATGGCCAAAAAGGCAAATGGAACTAATATTGCTATTTCAAAGGTCAGTCTGAAGAGCAATGAATCAGTCTACAGACACCTGAAAAAATCAGAAAATACATTTTTAACCAACAACAAATGTTTGTAAATCATGTAATGAGTATCAGTGATGTGGATACAGATACTTAAATGATGTGTCAATGCTTTTTAAGTCAATTTGCTATTTATCTGTACAAAAAGCTCTTATTTTCTTCATTTATATTTAAATTAAGATAATAAAAAGTATGTGCTATTTGGGAAATTAAACTTGTATTAAAAAACCCATGCGTATTTTTGGTTTTTTTGGGTTTGGATTGAAGGCACTTGAGACAGTAGTTCATGTCTGGACTCACGTGTTTATTATTTTTTATCAGTAAAACAGTCTCACAGCTATGAGTTCAGCAGCTTTTCATTAGAAGGCACAAAATGGCCAACAACCTCTTTTTACAAGTTCTTTTAAGACTAAACTATCCACTTAAGAATTGACACCTGGATTATTTTCCCTTTTAAGCCAGTAACTGATCCCAAAGAGCAATGTGGACTTTTCTGCCCAATTACCCAAACCTATGAAGAAGGAAGGTGAAGCATAAAGAAGAAACCCAGGACAACACCCTGTGCTCTCCATCTTGCTTCCATCCACAACATACTGAAAATCCCAGAACTTAAATTTCTCACCAAGTGAGACACTACACTGCTCTCTATAATCTATTTCACACTTTTGTGGATTCCAGTCTATCTTGAAGTCTAGGAAACTTTCTCCATAAATAAGGGTCAAAGTCAGTGCTCCCCTGGGGGTCAGGGCACCCCAGAGCAGACAGAGAAATATTCCTGGTGCCCTGGGTTTCCACACATATGACCTAAGCATAAAAAAATTACCTGTATCCATGAAAAGCAGTGGAAAGGCACCAAAATCTCCACATGTGACAACTCCCTGTTCTATGCTGAGCTCCACTTTCCAAAGAGGACTGCAGAAGTATCAAGCAGTGGACAGCACAGAAGACATGACATACCTATTAAATCCTGCTCATCCATCCTGAAACACGAGGGCTTCATGGACAAGTCCAGCACTCGGATGCATCCATCATCTGCTGCCAGCACCACTTTGTCTGACGTGCACCAGTCCACGTCCAAGACCCGGAAATTCACATTTCTGCCACTCCTTAAACTGCTCACCATTTGTACCTGCAAAAGTTCAATTATTTCTTATTTTTAGCAGCCTCTCCATCACCCAGTGTGAGGCTGTGTCACACACCCAGGAGGCACAGCACAAAATTCACCATAAAAGGTGAAGTTAGCCATGAATCATTTCAATAATGGTCTTTTCTGGAGAGTAGGGAATTTAGAAACCTTGGAGTAGGTCACATGGTTGACCTGGAACAATACTATTTCCCAATTTAGGGCTGAGAAAAAATCCTTTTGAGCATAGTGTACAGCTGCGTTTTTGTTATCTTTTCTAATAGGACAGGATTAGATGTATAATAGAACTGAGACTATAAAATATTACTACAGATATTCTAAAAGACTTTTGACTGAAAATGTGAATTTAATTTAAAATGCTTTCATGCAGGAAACTCCTTTATCCTAGGAAAAAGAGAGAACAGCTACAGTATCTTGTGGCATCAAAACAATTCAAATGTGCTCCAAGGAGAGACTCATTGGGTAATACCCTACTCAACCTATGTAATTCACAGTAGTTGTTCAAATCTGCTGTTCATTCTTATCATCAGTGGAGTTTCATATTGCACTAATTAAGTGTCTGAGTTTGGAGCTGGTGCTCATTACAAAGTGAACAGGAAAAAAATTAAAATTCCTCTTTCATAGCCTGATACCCTGAACTTATTCTGGGGGCTAAGTGAAAATAGTACAATTATATTTCCTTCCCCATTGTACAATAATCCCCTAAGAGACCTAAAAGCAAAGGCCAGAAGGTTTGTGAACATAACTAGAGAGTTTGTGAGTAAGAAGAGAAGTTAGAGAGTGTTAATGAACAGGTGTCTGGGTTTCTGGTATTCCCTAACAAATTACATCTATTGACCATACACAGAAAACCTGCAGTGAAAGCAATCTCCTGTCCACAGATTAAAGACTGGGGGACTCCCCCTTAAATTTTTAAGGTCTGCCTCAAAACCATTACAAGAGGATGACAAGGAGGATCTCATACACTGTCAGCTTCAAGAGTGGAAGACTCTTCTCATTGATGCAGCTTAAAGATGCCTTGCAGGGAGTAGAAGTCTTCTGAGAAAAGCCATATGACTTTATCATGCAACTGCCAGCAAGAAATCCCGACTCAGTAAAACTTAATCCCTCACTCATCCTGATGTTCAGAGGTGAGGTGTGGGCTTTGAAGAGAAGTGCCTATCAAACCAACAGCCACTTACCTCTTTTGAATCCCAAATTTCTACCCCATCGTTGTACATTGCAAGGAGTTTTTGATTTCCTTTCCCTGGGGCAAACCGTATTTTTTTCACCCAGCTCCGGTGAGTAGGAATCCCCCTAAGGAAAGACAAGATTAGGATTCATCATTCTATACCCAATACTGTAGGAAATGGAATCCTTTCCAGGAACTTTGCAGATCCTGGTATTGCACAGACTGAGGGGAACAATCTCTCTATAGATGCACACACAAATGGATGTCCAGATTATAAATTCATTAAACTAAAATGATGAAATGCTTGGAATAAACACTACAATACATAATGTTTTACCAGAAGCCATTGAAGATTTAATGCAAAAAAAGATATCTAGCTGGTTTTAAAACCTTGATTGAATGTTAATTCTTCTGAAAACACAAGAGATTAAATGTAGGGAACTGTGACACAATAAACATTTTCAGAATTTTTATTCCCAAATACATGCATTTTTCCCTACACTGAAGAACAAAAATGAGGAAAGATGAAAACATTCCATATTCTAATACTCATCATCTCATGTTTAACAGACTTAATTTGCATTCATACCTGGATACTCTAGCTTTCAAATCCCAGAAGTTTAAGTTTCCATCAACATCTCCAAGAACCAGGATATCCCCTTTCCAGGCAATACAAGTAATGCTACCCATACTTCCCTGAAAATATTTAAGAAGCAGAAAAATATCTTGTAATTAATAGATTCAAACATATGAATAAATATTTTAACATTGGTATTAATTAAAAAAATTATACAACATGATAGACCAAACTGTACTCAGTTAAAACAGGAAAAATTATTTATAAGACTGTGAAAACAGAACTGCTATCAGTTTTTATGCTGGAATTCATTTCAGATTTCAAAGTATTACATTACTGACTTGCTGCTACAAAGCTGATCCCTGATTTTTTCTGGCAGTCAAAGCTAAGCAAAAAATTCAAGCATCAATGATATAGAACTTACATCTGGAGGAATTCTTGCACTGTCTTTTACTGAGTTTCCCTCTACTGTGAGATGATAAACCTGCCCATCAGCACCTGTAAACACAAAGTGCTCCCTGGCAGAGATGTTCTGGCTCAGCTCTGATTTACTTTCAGCTTCCTGCAACAAGCTTTAAAAAGAACATAATGAGACACAACTATTTTTTTCTTGAAATCAGAATTGCAAGACAAATTCTACCTCATGCACAGAAACAGCACAAAAAAAGGAGCATACATGGCTTCTAAACACTTTATGTAACAGTTAATTATTACTTCCACTCTTGTGGAAAGGGCAAGTACTTGTCCAAGGGCAAGTAAGAGTTTTACTTAAGAACCAGACAACCAATGGACTGCCACAGACACACCTGAGAGTAACAGGTACATCAAAGTACATTAAAGTCCCCATATAAGAACTAAAGGGAGGCCCATAAAGTTGTTTTGCTTGCTATGTACTCAACAATCAGTTCCAAAATATTCTTTTCATTAGAAGAATGGCACATGGTGGGAAACCAACAATTGCTGTAGCCCAGGACTCCATCAGGAGGGGGGATACCTGATCACAGAGGATTCCACACTGCTGACTTCAGTGTCTGATGCCACTGTCTGCCGGGCCATGGCCTCCCTGGCTGCCAACTGCTTCTTCCTCAGGCTCTTTAAGTTATGAGAAGGTGACCACTCCTGTGGAAAATGGCCCAGGAAAAATGGAAAGGAGAAAGGTTTATTCCCTGAATTTACTGGGGCTTTATAATGATTTCCAAGGAGATTGCTTTCTGCAGTACCTCCTTCCATTGCCCAAGGGGCAGAGCAGATTTCTTCACCAGAATCTCCTTTTTTCCTGCCTCCATTTGGTGAAGACGAAATGTTAAAGCACTTTCCTGTATATGCTACAGCTACAGTAGCACTTGCTGCAAAATTGTTCAAAGATTTTATACTATTTCAATGTATTACATTTATTAAAAGATAACAGAATTTATTCCTTACCAGAGCAGTGGCTGTAGGGAAGTTTTTAGACATTTCTCTGAGCAGAGTGCAAGTTCTGACATCCCAGATCTCCAGTGGTTTGTCTTTAAATACCACAGCTAGGTACTGCCTGAAACAAATGAGAATTTACTCCAGCAAGAGTCATTTGAGCATTTTACTTCACTTGTGTTGTTCACACCAGCACTCTGGAGACCCTCAAAAACTACGAGTTAGCAGAGCAAATCAAATCCCCCTCTGAAGCTTGTGATTCCCTTGAGTTACTGAGGAGCAAAAGAATGTCTGAAAAAAGAGTCCTCCTCAAAGCTAACAGAATTATAAACTTCTGCCAAGTGGTTCTGCACAATTACTGTGGAGGAGACAAGGGGAATAATTCAGAGAGAGCAGCAACCTCTGATCTCACCATGTTCAGCCTCAGTTGAAGGCACAAAATACCAGAAAAAAACCACGAGACTGCAGGCTGGACAGGGTTTTTTCCCTCCTGCAGATGCATGCCACTTCCTAATCCTGGGATAAATGAGCATAAAATCATCTCACACTAAACCACTTTTCAGTCATGTCTTCAGACTGCTCATCTGTGGAGCTGGGTGAGTGTAAACACCTTTAACCTACCACTTTTCACATTTAACTTGAAAACACAGAGGCCATGCAGCAATTTGTCCTCTCAGGCACTGCATTCATCTCTCTGCAAGTGAACCTCCTTTCTTGTCTCACTCAACACTCTCCAGCACCTTCATCTAAGCCCAAGGCTGTTCTTAATTTTTAATGCATTATTAAGAACATTATATTGGTGAACTCTTCCAGATTCTCTGGACTCCTGTGCAAGCTAGAGACATTAATTTTTTTTTCTCCTCTGTAAAGAAGAAGCTTTTAAGATTTAGAGACAATGCCCTATTAAAATCAATACTATTTTAATTTCATTTATACAAGAAAGTGAAGTAATTTTCCAGAGTACTACAATTATTATTTTTGATACAATGAAGATCAGGACCTCCTGTCACAGGCCTGAGCTCAAAATAATGATGAAAGGAAACAATTTGGTCGTTTATCAGCTAACTTTTCAAACAACTGTATCTCACATCTGGTTTTCCAGCAGACAATTATTACAAAGGTGTTAAATACATACAAAAGCTAAATAAATATGAACAATCATCCAATCTTTAATGCCAAACTTCCTAGTTTTAAGTGAATTAACTCATAACAGAATCAAAATTGAAAAAAAACAGTTCAGCACTCTTATTCACCTTAATATTATCAAAAAAAGCCTGTTCAGTAAACACAATACCTCTAAGAAATAAAATATTAATTACTGATTTTGCAATGTGATTGGATCCTGAAGTGACAAAGTCAACCACAGAAACATTCACAGCTTTTTCACTTGGAATTAATATTCTGAAGCATTTTCCTCTTGCTGCTGTTGAATATTTTCCTATACACCCTGAAGTGCTTTGTGTCTTGGAATGTCTATGATATTCTGAGGATTTTCATGAAGTACAGTGAAATTTATAAACTTCCCAAGGCTGAGGCACTTACTTCAAATGAGACACCTTTATCATTTCGATGGCTGGCTCGTCGTTGCCTCGCTCCCCACGGAATGCAACACTCCTGCCTGGAGCACAGCGCAGGGGGAGAACAGAAACAGTCAATAAACTAAACAAAAAGGGAGAAATTTAAATATAAACTGCTCTGTTTGTAAGCAGAACCAGCTTTCTAACCAAACCAAAACATCTCCAAATCACCTGTCATCTCTAATGTCATTGTCAAAGTTTTACTGTTTCATTTTACTGCATTTCAGTGTTCATCATTAAAATACCAAAGTTTACATTAGATATATTGTAAACTCTGCTGTCAAATCTAACTCCTGACTCACTTCCAGAGCACAGCCACTCAAAAGGATGCATCAGGATTATATAAATATAGAGAGGGTTCCAAGAGTTATTATTTTCCACTCAAAGTCAATGACAGATTCTCTTCACTCCCCAAGGAGGAAATTCATTAATAGATTCCAAGTTTGATAAGAGAAATTAACTCTGCCATGAACTGTGATAGAATTTCATGGTGAGCTACATTCTACACTTATCAGAACCATTCTCTCTTCCTTTCCAGCTAAAACAGTAAATCTTAAGAGTTTATAATATCATCCCCAAGAAAATTTTCATCCACTTGTAGGAAGTGTTGCAGAATTATAGGTGTTAGAGATGTGATATTTAGCAAAATAAAAAATTATCTACAAACAGCATCTTTTATGCAAGTTGCATTCTCCTTAGCTTCAAGAAAAATTCAAGCTATAAACTTTAGCTCCTCTTGTAGCTCACAGCAAAATTACTGAAGCCAGCTACATGAATAAATCTAGTTGTCAAGAACATGAGTTAGAGCTCTCCTGTCAGAGGTTACTGGAATTCCTTCTCTGTTTTCAACATCTCAGCAATTTTCTTTCATATTTTTTTTCAGAAACATACATGAGAATTTTGTCAAAGTAAATTTGAATCAGCAGAGTTTTCCTAGGCCTAAAACAGGAAGCTGGGCTCCTAAGTGACGGAAAAAGAAGCAAAAATCAAACAGTTAAATTGCTGTGCCTTTCTTGAAAGCTTTAAAAGAGGAAGTGTACCATTTTTAAGCAAACCAAATGCTAAGGTCTCATGTATTCACATTTACTCAAAACTTGGTTGCCTGCAGAAATTCTGAACCTTTGACGATTTCTCTCTGTAAATGTTCTATACTGATTCATAAATGGAGTGAAAAATCAGATTCCCAATTTACATGAAATTAATTTCCCAGTTTTGATTTTAAATAGATGAACAAAACACATTATATGAAAAAACTTTAGAATAATATGCTACAAGAATAACCTCTCTGTGCAGCACCCTGGAAATACAACTACGGTTTTTCCATAAGCTTAAAAAAAACAATTAAAAAGTCACTTCGTATAAACCAATTCAGAATTAGCCATGTGCTACAAGATTAAGGCTCTTCAATTAGAACTTAAGTGGCTCCAGGTTTTCACATTCAAAAATAATGTAAAATTATTGAAGTGCTTCCTGTTCTGGGCTGCATAATCTCCCCAGTTATACCTCTTCTTGTGCAAATACCGAGTTCATTACAAATGTATTTATCATCCACTATGAGGCCAAAACAGTTGAAAAAATGTAACCTGTTAATTTTGCTATCAACAGTATCTTTTAACAGTTATTTACTTTATAACCTTTCCAATTATTTATAAAAGTACCAGTTTTTTATTGTTTAAAATCCCTTTTACACTCATTCACACTCAAATCCTGACGAGGTGCAACACAACACAACAAATGGTTTGACACTATTTCAGGTGCACATGAAACAGTGAGTGCAGACTATGACAAAACACATTTGGAAATATGGAAATATGTGCAATTTGTGAACAAAATCCACCACTAATACCCCATGTGGCTGCTTCTAAACCCCCTGCTGACACTTATTATTCTTTTAATAAGTCCAAGGTGTTTTTGCAAAGGTGCTGGTTCAAGTCTGTCTGCAGAGCACCAAACACATCTTGTAGCTTCACAAAGAAGAGCAGGAACAGTTAAAGCTCCTTTATTACTTTATTTTGTCATGACAACAGAAGGAGTTAAAAAAAAATAATAGTCAGAACTTGTCACTCCCTTAGCAAATCTGTCAGCTCCTGGAGCAGATTTCTCAGGAAACACAAACCTGTTGGAAGGTCCACCAGCTGCAGCTCATTCCTGACCAGTCCCAGATTGTTGGGTGTTGATGTGGCAAAGGAAATGAAGCCAGTCAAGCTGATCCATTCAATTCCCCTGTGAGCAGAAGGAAATACATGGAGCATATCAGCCAAAATATTTGAATTGCTACAAGTCTGAACGGAAGTATTTTTTTCACATATATTCTTAAAAGCCCAGCACAGATGTAATTTTCTACACTTTCTGGAAGCATTACATATAGCATAAAAGGAAGCTACACATTAACAACTATGGTGTGAATATAACTTAGTGAATTAAATTTAAGAGCAGCTTTCTTTTCAGACTGCATTAGCTCTACTTTGGTGAAATAAAAAATTCAGGTAGAAACACTGTTAACTTCTGCAAAAAGCCTTCACAGATACTCAGCACCAGAGTGGATCCAAAGCCCTGTTCTGATCAAATCAGGGGTTACTATCAAACTCCAAATCCCCAGCACACAGGAAAATATTCATGTGGGTGGCAGTGTGGGTAGCCTTATTTCTTTCAGTCCAGAGAGAGGAGAAATAAAGATGATATAAAAAGAGAGGCCCTGAAGAAATTTCACAAAAGAACCAAAAACCTGGTCTTTTTCGTTTGTTTGATTTTTTGTTCTTTTAGATCACACCAAAGCAGCTCCCAAGCAGATCACATTACAGTGCTGCAAGGATGTAAAGTTTCAGTGCTTTAATAAATAAATAAATAATAATAAATAAATAAAATTGAACTCAATAGAACATACTGGCAGCACAGATGGACTTTCAGCCAATTCCTGAAATACACCACAGGCAAAAGGGACAGAAAGTGACAGCGGGTGGGACTGTCCCTAAAAATGACCCTTCTCCAGCCTCATTTCCCACACACATTTGGTGCCTGCAAAAATTGCTTTACCTGTGAAATAAATCTAGGAGCTCTTCCAAAGAAAATTGAACTTTAATACACACATGTGCTCAACTTCCTTTTAACACAGATAAAAGGATTTAAGGTTTCCTCAAAGCCTTCAAACACAGATTACTTAACTGCTCCCAGAACAAGTATTCTCGTTCATCAACTGCCCATTTTGGAAGAATATATGTGCAGTATGAGAAAAATAAAAATAAATAACAGCATTTATGATTTGTTGTCAGTAAATCCATCTCACACTGCATTAAGTAAATGTTTCCTAAATACAATGTACATGGGTGAAACCAAAAAGCACTCCCATAACATTTTGCACACACAATTTACAGCCGTATTTGTATTATTTTAGTTCAGCTTTAAAAATAGGGGAAGCTTTATTCCTCAGTCCTCAAGAAAAGGTAAAAATTTAGGGCCCAATTTTTTTCCCCAGAAGGACCTATGGAAGTTCAACCATTAATTTCAATCAAAATGAGAAGTGTTCAGTTATTAATTGAGACATTTCAGGCATGACTGAATAGAAATCTAAAGCTGCAGAAATGGGTGACATTACAAGTCTCCAAAGGGTCATAAATCCAGGGAGCTTTCTGAAATGGAAGAAATGTGAATTCTGACACCTTCCCATTTATCTCAGCTATGTTTTTTTTGGGAAAAGCCCACTCCTAATGCATTGTTATTGCTGGTAGTTATTCACCACTCTTGTACAAAGACTTGAAGCATTTTCTACACTTCTTTCATCAGCTCAGATTTAACAGGCAAGTCCTTTTTCTCTGCTGCTGCCTGGCCATCTGTCAATACCAATAAAAATCTACAGAAACCTAAGACACTCAAAAACACAAGAAAATCTTAGCTCAGCTAACTGCTTGCACCTGAAACAACATAATTTTTGTAACTGTCATACAGAGAAATTGAGAATCTGAAGACAGTGGTTCACATTTTAATGATGGAAACAAGTAATGCCTTCCCTATTGAAATAGCAAACATTTCCTAAGAAAAATCATCTTTGCCTACCAGAATTAAGGGTTACATTCAGCTGCCAATCACTTTCTCAGACTGAATCTACTCTTAAAATGCAACATTTACAGATTCTGTACATTCAACTTGTCTCAGTTACTTCAGGAGTGAGACTCAGTTGTTTTGATTAATGTTTCTGATGCAAACAAATCACAAAGTGCACTGAAGTGGATAAAAACACAAATTACATTTCTAGTTGGCAATAGATTGTTGTGACTTTATGACATGGCAGCTGCTACTTAAATTTAGGGATTCTAAGAAAAAGAGAAAGGCAAAATGGGAAATTAAACCATATGTGCTCCCAAAGAGGTGGTAGATATTTTTCATTCTAATTTCTCTGTGCAAGGAAAGTTTTTTTAAAGAGGTGATGAATGTTTGCAAAGCAGTTTCCCAAAGAACAGTCAGCTGAAATTCAAATGCTAAAACAGCTTCAATTCAACTGCTAAAATTTGGATGTAATGTAGCAATTTTCAAGTTGTGCCTGCAGGCCATAGACATTCATGTTACAGTCAGTGAGATTTTAATTTTAAAAATAAAAGCTGCTGCAGCCTTGAACTTGCTGAGCTTCAGTGAAAAAGAATGAGCACCACTGCTCCAGTCTCAGCTATTTCACTACCAGAATAAGCAAAAGCAGCACTGAGAGCTGCAAATGTGCCACTGAACTGAAAGATGCACTGCAGGCATTGTTTGTATGTCTCAAATATATTCTTCTCTGCACTGAAGGTGTTTTATTATCTCTTGTGTTGCCTACAGTTGACTATTTCATGGTTCCTCCTTCATTTTGGTGGTAGATTCCAAGCAGGTTTCCACAATGAACTCTCAGAGCTGCCTATTCTCAGGAACCTGTACTTTCCTTAACTTTTTGCAGAATGCACAGTAAAATGCAAACCTTAACCAGATGAAGGCTTCACAACAAAAATTCTGATAGAATTTTTTACTAATATTTGTACTAGAAATTAGTATTTTATTTTCATGCTTAAATCTGCCTGGAAATATGTATCCAGCAAGCAGCACCTTGAATATCTGTGCCATCAGTTATCCAAAAAGATCTGCCACTGTGTGCACACAAACACAAAGCACAAAAGCTTTAAAACTCACTCTGCTCCTTCTCAGGATGGATAAATACTGATTCTTATATTCAGTCTTAAAAAAATTATCTTTACTTCCCTTAGGACTAGAACTGTCTCAACAGCAATTTCAGCCCCAAGGGCGTAAAGTAAATAAAGCCTGACATACCAACCAGCATTACTTCAAAGGACTCAATCCCAATAGTTATACAATAAATAAAGTTTCTTGTCCTAAAAAGACTTCTTTGTCCTGCAGTGCACTGAAGAGACTGGAAGTAGTTGATATGCATCCCAGATCAGCAGGCACAGATGCAATTCCAATATTTCTTTCAGTGTAATTTTCATTACAGTTTTGTCAGGGTGTTACAGCTCTCACACAGCAAAGGCAGGGTAGAGCACTCTACCCTGATTTCATTAACAATTTTCCTGATTTCATTAACAGCAAGGCAAGACACCCACACTGCTGGGTAACATCACTCAGGTGTTTCAGCATTTGTTTCCTAGAAGGATCACAGCAGGAATTAAAATGAAACTCACTTGACTTCACAGGTATGGATGCTTAACTCTTTGTGGAGGAGTCCACTTGTGAGGTGAAACACCAGGACAGAGCCATTGCTTGTACCTATAAAAATTGAAAAAAAAAATAGGCACACATATTACCCTTTTCTTCCATGCTTTAGTGAAAATGCAGGATTTACAGCTATTTCTTTCTCTCTCTCTCTCTTTCTCTCTTATTTTTAGATACCTGTAATAATTAATATCTTACAATCACACAAAAATCATGTGAATTTCTAGCACTTAAATCCCAAATATTAAACCCTCTGTAGCCACTGATATCCCCTTGGATCAAAACATTTTCCCAAACCTTTTTGTAAAGGCTGTAGAAAATCTGATTATTCTTCTTGCATTTCCACAACACACCCACCCAGCTGAAGAAGAAAGGAATGTTTCTTTTTACTTTGATTACTGGGGATGAGTAAATGCATCAACGAAATGTTTTAACTGCTATCCCCCAACAATGCCAGGGGAAAGTCCTGGGTAGATTTTATGGAATCATTAAAGCAATTCTGCTTTCTCATCCTGAAATAATGACTTTTTTCGAATTAGAAATCAGTAACCTATTAGCTTTCAGCTTCCATTACATCAAAAATCTTCTGAAATACTGAAACTTACAATTTCCCATTAGACACTTCATTATATTCATATAAACTCTATGAAATACAACAATGGATACCTAAAGAGCCATTCAGGTATGTTAAGTCTAAAAAGACCTTGCTGTAAATGCACTTTACACCTACTTATTTTCTAATCTTTATATTTCACCTTTTCTAACAGTTGAAGCTCATGGAAAACCACAAGTTACATTTTAGCAGGATCACATCATGTCATGATGGACTGCCTATGGTTTGGAGCACAACTCTGAAAGAGGATGCCAGAAAAATCAGCTTTAAATAGGGAAAATTCTGAGTTAATACATCAGGTGCACACTGGCAACTATTCTAATAGCTGGATGAGTTAACTACATTTGTGGTAAGACAGAAAAGATTTATCAAGCAAAAATAACATGCTGCAAGTGTAATTTTAGAAATTCTTATCAGAGCAAAAATAAAGTCTCTGTGAAGTTCATTTGCTTGTTGTAGGAATGCAGGGCTGCAGAAGTGCCTATTTCCTGACATTCAGAATGAAGTGGGAGCAACACATAAAATGCTGAGTGTATCAGCAGACCAATATCACAGTAAATACCAGGATAAATAAAAACTTGCTACTATATTGCATTTTGCAGGCAGCATTGCTTAAACCCAAGGCAAGAAAAAAGAACCCAAGGACTCACAGAAGCAAAGCAATACAGGGGTCACTATCTGCAATAAATTACACAACAGCAGCAGATAGATTTATTTTTCTGTACCAACAACTATATTTGAATTTAATACAGGATCTATCCTTTTCAGAGCAATGAATAACCTGCTGAAGGCACTCACCAACAGCAAGGATGGGCTCATACTGTTTGATGTTTTTGGTTGTGAGGGGCGGGCACATGCGGATGGCGAAGGGAGGCAGAGGCAGCCCTGACAGAAGTCCTGTCAGCAGGAATTTGAGGTGCACTTCCTGCAGTAATGAATTCCTTAGCTCTTCTCCAGTGCTTGCACCCTGCCCTGCTTAAAAGTGAAAGCTCTTGTTAGCATGAAATTTTAAATGGAGATGTTATAGGAAGTTTTCAGATAGAAATTTGTATAATTAAAAATTACAAACTATGTATAAGATACATTTCTTCCTCTTGAGCTTCGCATGATGAAACTTTTCTGAAGACTGGTTGCTGTTTAGAGTTCACAAAGAAGGAATGTGTCAGATAAATAGGCTTCTAAGATTAGTAACAAAAAAATCAATGTGTTTTGTCCAAATTCCATTTTAAAATACGTTTTTATCCTCAAGAAAAATCAGAACATTAGTCCTCAACATAAAAATCCTCAAGAGGATTCGTTTGATAATTTCTTTAGAAACAGGCATTCTTCTATTTTGGAGTTACTATTAGAAAATAATCCTAAAAAATACCTCAAGTTCTTAAGTAAGGTAAGATGTACAATGATTCTAAACCATGAGAAATTAGTAGCGGTGGTATCAATGAAAGAAATTCTTACCAATCATGTTGTCTAATGAGAGGTCTGGAAGTTTATTTTGCAATGCTCCTACAGGGATTCCACAGAAGGAGACTGGGGAATACAGAGGTGAAGCACTGGAACTGCTGCAAAAGAAATGGGAACAAGTTCCTCATGCAGGCACCATCTCCATCCCCAAGGGACCCAAACTGCCCCTGCAGCCTTGGCAGCTGTGTCCTGCTGGGCTGGGGCAGCTCTGTGTCATCAGCAAAGAGCACAGACCTACCTGGCTCCTCTAATGTTACATTTTTCCTGATAAAGATAAATATTTTAGACATAACCCTTAAGAATAGAAGAAGGAAAAACCAATTTAGATTTTAAACACCTTTCCTGGATATGTAGCACAAGGAATCCATCTAGCACTATTTTTGGGAACACTAAGAATAAAAACACTAAATCTCTGATGAGCAACAACAGGATCTATGTTGAAAACCTGGTACTACTGACATTTAAAAGAATTCTATTTTTTTAATGGCAGTAAGTTATTTATTTTATTCCATAGTACTTTGAAGGCTTATTGCAGCAGAACAACCTTAATACATTGACTGTTCCAAGCACCGTATCACCTCACACAGTATTTTGAGAGACTGCTCCAAATCTAAAATTCTAAAGGCTCTGTGTATAAAAACATTTTTTATACCACCATATTCCAGTCACCTACTGTGCAGCTTCATATTGCTCAGTGTCAAATTCGCACAAATCCGGCAGAAAGCCATTCCTCTACTAAAAGTGTAGTTCTTTACAGACTCATTTTGGTCCTTACATGTGACTGAAAGTGAAGGATTCATTCCTAAGGGAAATTATATAGTCTGAAGAAAGCCAAATGAGAGGAAAATGCTCCCGCAAAATAAAACAAATAGTCATTCTATCTTTTGTTTTCTTAGTCCAGACACTGAGGGTGGAACTGCCTTAAAAAGAAAAAGTAAATACAGTTCCTGCACTTTTTCAATCTGGAAGACACCATTTGTTCCTTCTCCTTCACTCACACACATGTAGAGCGCATGAAACACTTCCAGTCGTCACAGAAGGATCATTGTTGCCCTTAAAATACAATGAAATACAGAACACCACTTGGAACTTTGGTAAAGAAAGTAAATCCCATTACCTGTTGCGCACATTTCTGCCAGAAATGTTGGATTTTAATTCCCAGATCATCACCCTGCCATCACTGACTATGAGAGCTGCAGCATTCTCATTCACCGGGCAGCACACCATGCTGAAGGGTCGAACTGTTTTGGTCACCCTGATGGCATCACACTGACTTCTTAAATCATAAACCAGCTCCTGAGCTGGCTCTGGATCTGCAACACCAACAGCCCACAGAGAAAACACTGAGTGAAAAACATGGGATGGGAGCAATTAACAGAGGGAAATGTGAATTATTAAACTTTTGTCTGACTGAGCATGTGCATGGCAGCATGCAAAGTGCATGGCTGAGCACTTTGACTGAAATCCATGTGCTTCCTGTGCAACAATCAGGAAAAGCAACCAAAAACAACACACTCTTGATCTTGCTGTACACAACAAAGCTCTGGAAAGTTCTCCAAAATGTAACTTTGTCTTTGTAATATATTATTCCGTATGAATCTCAAAAAAGCTAAAACAATAACTGTTTCAGAGCTGGGCAGAGCCTGCTCTCCACAATCCAAAACTCCAGGTTTATTGGTGAAGTTGGAAGCCAGTAATGTAGCTCATTAGAAACTAGCAAACTGCCCAAACCAAAATGAACAAACAGAACTCAGGATTTTTTCCCTTTTTTTCAGCCTCCACCAGTAGATTTAAAAGACCATTCTTAATAACATTTCATGAGACAAAAGTTTAATAATTCAGATTTTAATCTAAATTTGAGCCCACATCTTAGGTCTAAAATCAATCTTTCTAATTGACCAAATTACTTCCAAAATCTTGTGTTTGCCTAAAGACTGTTTTTTATTTACAGATAAAAAAACCACACTAATATTTTATTTAAAACATTATTGTGTATGTGACTGTTAAGCCACTTACTAGTTTAAGTATTATTCAGCAATAAAAGGATATTCAGGATATTATTATAATTAATATAATCAATATAATCTATTTCACACTTAATATCAGGGAATTCAAAAGCTTTTTGAATTCATTTTCACAATTTGTTTTGGGAAAATACAACATAAATTTACATTTAAATTCAACATATAAGAGACAAAACACTAGAAGAGCACTAGATTCACCATCCTGTATGAGGCATGATGGTCATTATTGCTGTTAAATTATTAATTAAAATGCATCAAAGTTCATTTCTGGACATTTTTGACACCAAACTCACCTGGCTCCTCATTTGGAGTTGCAGTGATGCTGCAGTTGGATCTACGAACCCTCAATGTGATACAACCATTTTCATGCAGGCAAAATAACCCATCCCTCTGAAAACAAGGGATTACCTGGGCAAAGAGATGGCTGTTAGATTGCACATTCAAAATCTCACCCCTTGCAAATGACACTTGCAAGGGAGCCCACAATTCCTGATGTTTGAGCAAACCATAAAAAATAAAAAAATCCCCAAACTACAAAGGCTGGAAACTGCACTGTCTCATTACAAGTCAAGTGATGAAGCCCAATTCAAGAATAAAATGATGACTCTCCTATTTCTCTCAGTTTCTTTCTGCTAAAATTAATAAATCTGCACTACATCCCCCTTAATATCTGGATCACTTCTGGTACTGATCTCACTCTGAGTCCTCTAAAATCCTTTCTGTTAAAAATAACATTTATTCTTGGTCTACTTATCTTACTGGCTTCTCCCTCAGCACCCATCCCTTTTTAGCCTTTTACATTTCACAGGACTCTCTACCCTTGGCTTCCTCCAGCTCCCCCTACACACCTGACATTTCCTTTTGTAAAGTCTCAAACTCCCCTCATGCCTGCTTTCCCCCTTCCCGCAGAGCAGCACCTTCTGAACTAAGATTCCACACTCCAAAGGCTCCCTGTCTTTGCTTTCTGACTTCTTATTGACATTTCTGATATTATTCTCTCCAATCCATTACTTTTAATTTCAACATTTACATTCCAGTTTAAACAATTTTCTTGCTCACACATGTCCAGGCCCCACTGTTTTATACATATAAACTTACAAGCTAAATGTGAGGGATCAAAGGGGTCAAATGAAAAAGACAGGATATTTTCAGCATAACTTTTCTTCCAAAGTTTGGTGCCTGTGTCTGCATTCCACAGTACAATATAATTTGGTGGGTGAACTGCAAGCAGTAAATCTCTGGAAGCATCTTGATTCCACAGCCACTGCATGTCTGTCAAAAGAAATAGGGAACAAAATGAATATTTGGGATGGTATCAGTTTGGACCTGGACACAAGTATCTTCTTCACTCTAAAACCTTTTAATCAGTCTTAAGAATAAAATGAAATGGAGTGTAACACTCAGCTCTTTCAGAGCTGGTAAGAGCTTTCCCTGGTTTGACAGAAAATAAAAGGCTCTATTTGGTCCAAAAAGCTGTAGAAATCCTCAAATTGACTGCTCAGAACTTCTTTAAACCTTCAGTGAATCAGTGTCAGGAGTAAATAAAACCCAGTTTAGAATGCACACACAAACAAAAAGTAATAAAACTAAAACGAACTGTAAGCCAATAAACAAATTTTCAGTGGCTCAGTATCCAATTTAAAATGCTGCATTTTCTTTCACAGGATTTATAAAACAGAACAATAACAAAAACCAAACAACTTAATTTTATAAGAGGACTTTTATATAATGGATTTTAAAAGCACACCAGGTATATCATAAACATCACCACAAATGTTTAAAATAGCTGAAATGCCCCAGAAAAAACCCAACTCCAACTGAAGAGCAGGAAGATGTATTTGACATAGTAAATATTATTATTTCAACCAGTAATGTTCATAAAAATAGAATCAAATTTCATTTTTGTCACAAGAACTTGGAAAACATCACCATAATGAATTAAATCTCACAGCATTCCTCTGGGGGACAGTAAATCTTCCATTTACTCATAAAATGAACAAGGAAACATACAGAGGGCTAGTAATCCCAACAGGAAAATTCCCTGTCAGAACTGAGCACAGTTTATAAAAGGCAGGTGATGGATTTGTACACAATGCTCCATAAAACAACTCCCATATAACCATCAGGAACTATCATTACCTTGGATGGGCTTTGAGTGCTCCTGGATTTCACAGCGAGCTGTTCCTGTTGCCACATCCCACACAATGATTTTCCCCGTGGCATCAGCAGAAGCCAAACGTAAGGAATATGGAGAGCCAATATTGTGGTGGTAATTTTCCTTAGCCCATTTAACCTGAGAATACAGATGGGAATTGGTTGAAGGAAACAAATGGATGGCACAGACACCATAGCTCATATTTTTCAGATAATGAACTCAATAAAAAAGCACAATACTAGTTAATGCCAACAGCACTTGTTAATACATTTAAGCCACCATCACTTGTGTAAATCTAAGGTAGGTCAGCACTGTGCTGCATGACAGCATGGCTAATATTCTCAAATTACATAAATCAACAACACTTGTTCCTGAAGGTAACTACAACAATCCAAACATACACATCATGCATATAAAGAATTTACTCAAATATTTAGAGGAAACCAATGGCAATGTTTAAGGTCCTGTGGGCACCCACAAACCTAAACCCACAGACTTCCAATCAAATGAAAGCTGAAAAATTATCATTAAATTTTTGTACACATTCTAAAACATGCAATTTTCCTAATCAGACAAATATATCGTGGTATTGGTGAGGAAGGAAGATTAGTCTTTAATTTATGTGTCTCACAAGAAAACAAAAACAAGTTATTGCTGACATTTGCTATCTCTTTGGTTATTTTCAGCACATTGTCACCGCTGATTTCAGGTACCGCTTTCCAGTTTGGGATTTCAAGCTGCACAAGTTTGTAAACTGGCAATACCTATGAGAAATCTGCGTCTTGAAATCTGAAACACTCTGTCTACAACTCCTCTCAGATTACAAGGGGAGGGATAACACTGACTTTTTCCTTATCTATCCCACATGTTTTTTGCTATCTGCTTTTAAGGTGAACTTCTCCCCACGAGGGACTGCAGACACGGGCAGAATAAAGAAACATTCTTGCTAAGCTAATGGGAATTCACCTGCTACAAAAATTCCAGCCTGTGTGCTGTCACTGCCTGTCACAGAAAGGGTGAGGCAGACACAGGACTTTCTGCAGATCCTGAAAATGTGACACTTAAAAACTGATACAGGACTGTCATTAGGCACCACTAACTTTGCACCATGAACCAGATTTACAGCAGCATTCAGAGCCCTGCTGGCACCTTTGTGCTGCCCCTCTCAGAGGTGTGAGAAGGATGTGTCTCACAAACCAGCTGAATAAATGAAACAAACGTGACACATGCACAGCACACAATCTCTAACTCTATAAACCCAAAGTATGTTTCTACCAGAATCACAAAGAATTCTTGAGAGACTCTCCTCTACCTACAAATTTCATTTTTGCAATTCCTGCTTCCCTGCTGTTCAAGAAAGAACTACCCCTGAGGATATCTGCAGGTGGCTGTGTAACTGTAATTGTAAAAACCTACAAAGCTAGTTATTTCTCAGTTAAATGCATATTACTTCAAGGCAAATTTCAAGTCTGGCAAACATCCTTTCTCAAGGGAGGAATTGTCACCAAGCTCAAAACAACAAAAAAGGAGATCTTTATATGACCAGCCCTAAGCAGAGCCCATGTGGTGCTCCCACACCCTGAACCTCTTTCCTCTCTGCAGTCACACTGATCCAACAAGTCCCCACACAGGACCTGACCACCTGCTAACAGAAATTATTTTCTAGCAGTATTAGTCGCTGTCTAGTTGGCTTCAAAATACAGCAGAATCAAGAAGCAGAGGTGACTTTTCTTTTAATTTTCACAATTCTTACCCCCTCATTTATAAAGACTTATTATCACTGTTTATTAATGCATCAAAAAGGACACAAACGTCCTTTTTATGCTCTCATTCTTGTGATGGATCAAAAAACTTCTCTTGTAATTAGATTTTCTTCCATAAAAGCATGCTTTCAATACTCTTTGTAAAGGTAAAATCAGATATAATCCACTCCATACAGAGTCTTCAGTCCCATACAAACAGCTTTTGGACAGATGGACAACTAACATGGACCCATTTTCAGGGAAGCTTTTACCTGCTCCAGACAAAGTTACAACAGTCAAAGGAGAGGATGCATTTTAAAGGAGAACAGCAAAACACCTCATAAATTAGCCATTTTCTTACAGTCAATTTCTGTTCAGAAAGCTTCAGGTAGTGGCTTTGAAAAATTAACTCACAAATTTTTGGACTTCAGCACTTCTGTTCCTGTTGAAATAATGTAACTTCTCAAAGCTAGTGAATGTAACAAAACTTGTTAAAATGCTATCACTGTATGGATCAAAAACTAATTTTGCTACAATTTGTTATCTAAGATAAGCAAAAATGTTAAAGCAGAAGACACATTCAACCTTTTCCTTCTACTACAAAAAGATCCCACTAAAAAGCCCCCTATCTAAGACCCTATTATTCTTCATAAATTATTGACAGCCTTCTAATAAATACAGCACTTGTGCCAAGGACAAACACATCTGCCAGCCAAACAATCCTCTAAACTCTAAGTGAATCTGTCATTGTCCAACCTGCTCCACACTCACCCAAAGTCAAACTCTGCAATTTCAAGTCAAGGACCTTCAAAGGAAAGCACAGGTACCCTGCACGTAAACTAAAATTTTAGCCATTTTATATCACTAAAATAAATGCCCAGTTTTGCCTGCTATTGCTCCTTTTCTATAGGTAAGAAAAGAAGGAAAAGCTTAGAAGTAACTTTTTGGACAAATGGTGCACTTCTCACAAGAGGGAGGATCAGAAAGGGCAGCAGCAAAGAGCTTCATTTGATATTTTGTAATGTTCCTTTGAAATCCTCTTATGTTAACAGCTTTCCTAGAAACATGTTCTGTAACAGTAACAAATGTTTCCAGATATTCTATCTTTTATATTCTATATTTTCTAGAAAGAGATACCATCAACCTCAACTCAAATTTCAGCATGCATGATGTGACTTAGCTGCAGAAGGGATCACATAAAATACATGTATTTCACATCAGATTTCATGTCAAAATCACGTGGAACATCATGTCAGTATTTACAGCGATTTAGAAGGATAACACAAACACCAGAACCAAGCAATACACCATAAACCAGGAACATCTCACCTTGACAACACTGGCTTTGTGTCTTTCCAAAACCTGCAAGGTCTGAGCAGAGTTGGCATCCACTACGAGCACGAGGGAATGGCATCCATACGCAATCAAACCCTGCCAGCCCCTGGGAGAGCACAGAGCATCATCAACAAGGAAAACACATCAAAACCTCCTCACATCGGGAATGAGGGGCTTTTTTGGTAAGTTGAATGCATACTATCAGTCACCCTATTTGATGTTTATCAGATGGTAAATACTATTTAGTAACATAAAAGCTTTATAAAATAATACTGCACTGTCTGCTGGAGCCCTAAGCCACCACAAAGCTTCTCTTTGTGTCCATCTCAGAATCTTTTTCTCTAAGCTGAAAAAATCACATGGGAATTCAGGAAGTGCGTTCCCAAATTTCAGATGTAAGAACACAGGTAAGAAATGCATCTGCAATGATATAACTAATTACATATCTTTTTTATTTATTACTTATTTATAGACAAAAAAGGAGCATGTCAAGAGTTATTAAAGTAATGGTGAGAATCTGCTGAGGCTTGTCTGACTTCAGAAGAAGTTAACCACAGAATCATAGAATGTTTGGGTTGGAAGGGACCTTAAATCCCACCCACTGCCACCCCTGCCATGGCAGGGACACCTCCCACTGTCCCAGGCTGCTCCAAACCCCATCCAACCTGGTTTTGAACACTTCCAGGGATCCAGGGGCAGCCACGGCTTCTCTGGGCACCCTGTGCCAGAGCTCAGCACCCACACAGGGAACAACTCCTTCCTGGTATCTAACCTCAGCCTACTCTGCATCAATGGGCACCAGTATGTCACTGCCGGCAGGGGCTGGGCCACGGCTGTGTCCCTGCCCCGGGCCGGACAGCAGCACTCCCGGCCTCTCCGGGGCCGGATCCATCGCTCCCCCGGCCGCGATTCCCGGCGCTGCTCGGGGCTCTGCGGAGGCAGCACCGGGGCAGAGCCGAGCCCGACCCGTGGCTGCGGCCAAGGGACCGCGGGGGGACCCGGGACCCCCCGCCCGCCCGGCCCGGCCCGGCCCGGCCCGGCCCGGCCCGGCCCTCACCAGTCCGCCGCGCCCCGGTTGGGCGCGCTCAGGGCGCCCGTCAGGGTCCGCGCCGGCAGCTTGATGTTGACGGTGAAGCGCTGCATGGCGAGGCCGGCGGGGAGCGGAGCCCGCAGCGGAGCCCGGCGGGGCCGCCCCAGCCCCGGCCGCCGGTGCCGAGCCCGCGGCCCTGCCGGCACCGCCCCGCAGGAAGCGCCGCCTCGGCGCCGCCGCCGCTCCCCGCTCCGCCGGGGCCCCGCGGCCCGGGAACGGCAGTTCCGCCGCCCTGCCCTGGTCTGGCCTGGCCTGGCCCGGCCGGGCTGGGCGGTGTCCCGGGCCAGATGCGGGTCTCAGGGCGGTTCGGGTTGGCAGGCACCGCTGGAGATCATCCCGGGGCAGGTGGCGCAGGAACGCGTCCAGGTGGGCTTGGAATGTCCTCAGGGAAGGAGATTCCCCGCCCTCCCTGTGCAGCTGTTCCAGGGCTCTGCCGCCTTCAATGTGAAGGATTCTTCCTCATGCTGAGCTGGAACTTGTTGTGTTTGCGTTTTTGGCCGTCGCTCTTTATGCTGTCGCTACCACTGAAGAGTCTGGCACCATCCTCTGACACCCCTCAGAGATATTTAAACGCACTGCTGAGATCAACTCTCATTCTGTAGCCCAAAGACTCCCTCAGTCTCTCCTCATCAGAGAGATGCTCCAGACCCCTCGTCATCTTTGTGGCTGGACCGTCTCAGCAGCTTCGTGGCTTGCACTTTGGAACCCAGGAGCTGGCACAGAAGGGTTCCGCAGATCTGCCACCCCTGGACACGGTGCGGCTGTGCCGGTTGTAAATCCATGGCAGGGAGGGGGAAGGAGCCGAGGGATGCCAGAGGCTCCAGCTCCAGGGATGTTCGTGCTCCTTGTCAGGCTGCAGCCTGGGACACCTCACTGGGAAAAGGGCTCCCTGTCCTGTCTCCAGCTGTGCGGATGCTGCAGGACAGCCAGAACATGTGTTTTTTCAGCTTAGTGATTTCTGCTCCAAAGTACCTCTTCAGTTACAAAACACAGTGACAGACCTCTTTGGTACCCTCAGGAGCAGCAGTAGCACGCATTTCACCAAAAGGCACCAACCCATCCTCCAACTGTCCCCAAGCTGTTACTCAGGCCAGGTAAAGCCACCTGGGATGGCACATCCCTGTGCAGCAGCACTGATATTTGCACTGGAGCTCACCAGGCAGCATTGAGGTCAGACTCAATAATCCCAAAGGTCTTTTCCAACCTGATTGTGTGATTCTGTGAAGCTTCTAAACCAATTTTCTGTGCATTAATGAGATAACAAGAATTATGTACTTGCAAGCTCATTATTTAATGTACATGGGCTGCTGGGGTGTTTGTTTCTCTTCAGAATAATAATTGTAATTGTTTATTTGTGACATTTTTTGGAGAAAAAGATGCCACTAGATGGCCAGAGATGGCAAGAATGTAATGCCAGCTACCCACTCTTACATTGCTGCAGTGTCACTTTGTCACAGAAGATGCAGTAATGCTGATCCTCTTTCCCCCTCTTTTCATTCTGATCACAATTGAATTTGTGCAAGTGGGAACTCAAGAAACAACCTGCAGCTGATGCCTTTTCTAACTGTCTTCTAAAGAATTCTGCTCTTGAAGCACAGAACATCACTCACTGCCACTTCCAGGTCACCACACCATTGGAACTTTTTTCTTGAAACTGTCTCACCCCAAAAGATATCTCTCTACTTTTAAAACTGAAAAGTACCTCTTTGGAGAAGTAAAGAGCTTTTTTGTTCCCTTTTCTTTGTCAGTATTTGAGGAGTACATGATCTGCACCTCTGGAGATCAATTTTGTAAGAGCCTGAGCAGCTACTAGCTTCATTAATTTTAGTTATTTTTGCTAATGGCATGTTTTTACTCTGTGTCCTTGGGCAACGTTCTGCTGTTCATGTTTTTGGTTATTTTCTTGCTTTTTTGGATTTGTGAGAAGGGCCTTTTGCAACTTTTATTGCACAATAGAAACAGAAGCTTTTCTTGACAGTTTTCTATCCATTTTCTTGACATCCAAAAACCAAGCAATGAGTGAAATGCCTAAAGGAAATAGATACTTCAAGGTAGTTGAAGATAAGGACAGATACCAGAAAAAGGGAAGCAAAAGAGGAAATGAGGGCTGTGTCACCAAGTGGTTAGAAAAAAAAAGAATCTGAGTGGTTTTCAGGGTCAGATAGGGTGAAAATCAGGGTGCATGAGCCAGGTGAATACATACTAAAGATTCATCAGAGAGATAGGGAGGAGATGAGGAAAAGGTTTGTGAACAATGATAAGGATCATTGGAAGAGCTGAAAGGAATAGAAATGTGCACTGGATGAACTGATTCCACTTCTGATCCACAGCTACTCACCAACACTGAGTACTCAAACTGATGCACAGCAAATGGATGTGAGCTGAAGATGTTCAGAGATGTTAACTTCTTTTTTGGGGGGCTTAACTGGATGTCCTCTTTCACATCTTATTGTTAATTTAAACCACTGCCAAGCAAGAATGCAAAATGCATCACAGCACTTTATTCTCTCTTCTGTAAATGTAACAATAGACTTTTGGCTGCTCTAAAAAAAGAAAATACCTAGCTTTCAGCTGTTTAAAAAAAGAAAATACCTAGCTTTCAGCTGTTTAAATACATAAAATGCCATTAAACCCACTGAAACCTCTCAAGTATCCAAGATGTGATACCCAGTGGGAGTGACTTCATTCCAGACAGCTCCAATAGTCCTCACTAAGGAGATATAGAGAATAAAGTTCTGGGTGATCATAAAAACCATTTAAATAAGTTAATGATTAAATAAATAATGAGAAGTATGATTCTACATAGCTTTTGGCTCATGGCTGTAAATGATTTTTCGGTGAGTTTGAACAAGACAAAGTGGGACTGAAGTAGAGACGTGTGCAGTCTCCCTTTTAGGCTTCTCCTTTACATAGTAATTATTGCAGGAATATTCCTGTGAAAGCTTCTGGGACCTCTTTGATTTCCATGGCCTTAAGTTAGAGCTGCAGGAGCTCCTGGGATCCACTGGTGAACTTTGGATCCACGTGGCATTCCTTTGCACAAACCCCAGTTTGGGATGGGGGTGTGTAAGAACCCCCACGTGCTATGGGGCAGGGCTCTGTTTGCATTGCAGATCGCACTGCTCTTGCCTTGGTGCTGTCATTTCTGCTCTGTGCATTTAAAGCTCCTTGAGTTTTCTGCTGGTTAAGTGTCCCTGCTTAAAAGGAGGCTGACCAAAAACTGATATCAGCCTCTCTTATCAGCGGTTTTGCACAGAGCATGAGATTTGCACAGTTGAGTTTTGCCTCACACTTTGGGTTTTTTGGGTTTTTTCCTTTTTTCTTTTTTTTTTTGCAAGGGGAATATATCTAAAGTCAAGATTCGTTTAATCACAGTCTAACTTCGTAATCCCAATAGAGATCTTTTTATTTCATGTTGTATTTTCAGAAGAAAATTAAATAAAAAGTATTGATGAAGGAGATTCTATTCCTGGTGTGTCAGAGTCCTGCTAAATTTAACACAAAAATAAAACCAATATATGAATTTCAGAGTGTGGAATATTTAGCTTCTAGAACTCTATCAGCTTGATGCAAAACCAGATGGCTTTAATCAAAGACTCAAACACTTGTCTCCCTTTCCAAATGCTTTCAACTTCAAAGTTTAAAATTATCCAGAAACCTCCCTCCAAGTGAGCATGGTCTAATCCAGTTCCACTGAACCTGCTGGAGATGTAAATGTGAATTCTCAAAGGTGAACTATGAAGAGACTCTAATGACTGCCTGCAGTCTCATTTTGTTTTGACCAAGTTTCACCAAAGGAAAAATTTCTCAAATGCTGTTGTGGGTTTTTTTCTGAAAATATTTTCCTTCCCCTTATATATTTCTCTTTTTCTAAGGGTCCAAAAGATGCTGAAGTGTAGTATTATTTTATTCACATATTGAATTGAATAATAGTGCCAGTTTTGGGCCATTTCTTTCTAATTTCATCCATGACTGCTGTAGCACAATCACTGAGGAGCCCTGGCCCTCACATTTTTTTTCTGGTCCTTTCTTTGAATATTCCTGCAGATGAACATTTACCCACCTCCCTGAAATACATTAACTGAGTGAAGAATCTCTGGAGAAATAGTGCAGAAAAAAGGACAGAGATCTGGAAGAGGTCTGATCCCATATGGACACAAAGACGGAACAGGAATGCCAATCCCAGATATCAGCATGCGGGACAGATTTGATTGCTTTGGACCTGGGCACCAAAAACTGGGGACTTTCCTAAGGAGAAATCAGAATTTCCACTAGCAAAACCCTGAGGTTTTTTAGTGGTGATTATTCCTGGAGTTCAGACTCTGGCTCTGACTTTAGGGAAGCATGGAGGGGTGCCAGGAACTGTGATCGAACAAATGGGTTAAAGGGGAGCATTTTTTAAGTATTTCAGAGCTTTGGAAGCATCCTAGCAACCTGAGAGAGCATTTGGTTATTATTTTATTAGGAACCAAGTAGGGACTTTGGTTTTTCTTTTTCTATTTTTTGGTTTTTTCGGGTTTTTTTTGGTGGGTTTTTTTTTTTTTGTAGCTATTAAGTAATTTATCAGCATTATGCTGTAAGATACAGGATGAGAGCAACAGTGGTGTGAAATTGGGATTTGAAATCTGTGTGAAACAATGCAGGATACTCAACACTGATTAATCAATCAGTGCTCCTGACAACATGAGGTTCCATGACATAAATTTTTAAAGAGGAAGAAGTCTCTAAGAAGACAGGCTTCCTGAAAAAAATAATGGAAAATGAAGTAAAAACTGATTTTAAGAGCCATCAGCAACTCCATGACTACAGCTAATGAAAATGTGAACACAGTAATTTACTGAGTTTGATAAAGTGCATATTGAGAAATAGAAGTGTTCTCATGTATATTGCATATTAAATGGATGGAAAAAGTTTTAATCCATGTTATTAATGTTATGGGTTGTGCAGGGTTTTATAAACTAAATTAAAATATTCAAATGTCCAGAAACCATGGTAACCGTGTATATATATCCAGTAAAGTGTTATTAATTTCTGCTTTAATGTTATGTAACCTACACATTAATATTTAAGGTTGGATGCAGCCCAGAAATAATTCTTATGAGAGCATAAACCTTAATTATTTCATGATGTATAATATTTTCATTA